CCACGCAAGTCTTCGTACATGAGGCCCCAGGTGCGGAGTGTTGCCTGTGATGTGCATTTGGATAAAGACCCACACTGTGTCTGAAACTGCCTACTACTCAGTAGGTAGTGCATTTGAATTTAAACATGCTACTCGGCTGTTAGAAAAGTGCGTTCTATACAGTGTGAATGTGAAAAGTATGAATGGAATTCGGACGTACTACATCTGCCATTTTGTCATGGTCACGTGACCTACTTGCGTCAATTGCGTCGCTTTACTCTTATTTATGAATTCACTCGTGGGGCATTATGGGATAGTGCAGCGTGCATTGGGATGCGCACTCCAGAATCTCGCCGGAAGTAGTAAGTCATCCGGGTACTTCTCGCATACTGATTTTTGAATTCTATGAATTCTGACATACTACTCGGCTCACATACTGATTTTAGCGTACTATATAGTATGGAAGTATGCAGTTTCAGACGCAGCCCCAGAGAACTGGCATTTATCCTTTTCAGCTTTGAAAAAAAAAAAAGCTGTGCTTTTTTTCTTCTTTATATTTGTGTCATTTTAATTAATTTTTTATTAATATATTTAAATTAATTTGATTATCTGGTTTGGATCTTTATTTGATTTTATTACTTCATTCTTGAGCCAGGAGGTTGTAACAGTTACAACTGAATTATGTACAAAATATGTTAAAACAATAAATTCTAAACCATAATTGTATTTTAATTAAGAGCGACGCAGTGGCGCAGTAGTGTCACCTCACAGCAAGGAGGTCGCTGGTTCGAGTCCTGGCTGGGTCAGTTCACGTTTCTGTGTGGAGTTTGCATGTTCTTCCTGCGTTCGTGTGGGTTTCCCCCCACAGTCCAAACACATGCGGTACAGGTGAATTGGGTAGGGTAAATTGTCTGTAGTGTTTGAGTGTAAATGGGTGAGTGTGGCTGTTTCCCAGAGATGGATTGCAGCTGGAAGGGCATCCGCTGCGTAAAAACTTGCTGAATAAGTTGGCGGTTCATTCCGCTGTGGTGACCCCAGATTAATAAAGGGACTAAGCCAACAAGAAAATGAATGAATGAATGAACTTTTGTCCGCATCCATATAAGATCTAGTAACAACCGCTGAAGCTTAGAGTCTCTGGTGGCTTTCACCTATATCCTCTCCCTCCGATTGTTTGAAGGTGTTGGTGGTTGGTGCTGACGAGGTCCAGGTGACTGGAAGAGGGCTCTCTGGCAACTAATACAGATTAATCCCAACAACAGAAAAAATCAGAAAGTGTTTATCTTCATCAGCATTCTTTTTTTTTTAATATAAAGGGGGACAATTTTCATTTAAGGAATAAACAATATTTATAACTAAGATTATTCAAAGACCTCTTTTTACAAAAATAAGACTGTTTGACACAAAAAGCCATAGATCAGATGATGCAAGAGGAACACTAAAGTAAACATGGAAACCGAAGAGGAGAAAGGGAAGGAGAAGTCATTCTCAAGAGTTGGTTTCAAATGCTTGTGTACTTCCCTGCAAGTCTTCAATTGCAATTACTGCTGCAAAAGCTCAAGCCTTAGAAGACGCTGCATAGGGCTAAGATAGCTTGAAGTCATCTTGAAACTTGTAAAACAATCAGGATCAGGAAATATCTACAATAGAGGCAAATCTAGAAGCAGTAGAGTTAGAAAAGATGGAATGCAATGACAATTGTAGTGTAATAAGTGCACTGTCGTCACATGTGTTTACCATGAAGAAATGAATGTGAAACAACAGACTCGAGCAAGCTCTGACTTTTCCTCAACAGACTTTTTCACAGTATTTCCTTTAAACAGAAATCATTCTTCTGGAGTCATAATAAGTCTTTTTTTATTAGTTTTTTTCTTGAATAAAAGCAGTTTTTGATTTTTTTTTTTTAAAGGCAATGTTATTAGCCTCCTTTTAAGAAATATTTATTGTGTATTTTTTGATTGTCTATACAACAAACCAGTTAAACAATAACTTGACTAATTATTACAACTTTCCTAGTTAACATAGCCCAGTGATGTCTTTAAATTACACTTTAATCTGAATCAAAGACCATAGAATACTTAAAGGTACTTTAATCTGAATACAACGATCTTGCTAAATAACTAGTAAGATATTATGCACTGATTGTCACCATGGGAAAGATAAAAAAGTAAGTTAAACTATTATGTTTAAAAATGTGTTGTAAATAAATCATGTGTTAAAGATTCGTGCTTTATGTCACGACTGAAATCAAAAAACCAATGAAGGCAAAACTAAACGAGTTGAATATGACTTTTACATGAGCGTGACTGAAAACTAAACTGGATCACTGTATTTCATCTGTTCTCCGGCTTGCCGACTGTTTATAAGTTCAAGACTGCATTTCCTAACGTAAAACTATTTAACTTACACTCAATCTCTGAATAATAATAGCCTCTGCATAGCCGAGGACTTCCTCTAATAAAAGTGTTAAAATCGCTATTGAAAACAGAAGTCTAATAACATGCAGTGAACATTTTGATAGTTTTTCACAACATGAACATGACTGAAGTTGAATCTTATTACCTGTGTCAATTTGGGGGTTAACTTCTGACGAATGAGGGAAAATGATGCGTGCAGCACCGCCACTGACAGAGCGAAAGCGCACGAAAGCAGACAGAGCGAGTGCGCGCACCACCAAGAGCGCACGCCACTGATGGCTGATCTCACTTCTCCGTGGCGTTTAGACACAAAAATATGCATCCAAATTTAAGGGGGCCAGAGGGGGGGCCAAGCTTGTTGACACAGGGGCACCGGCCCCCCTTTAGAACCACCACTGGCGACCACACAGCGCCATATTCTCTAGCAGCAAAAGAGAACCACACAAAAAACTTGAAGGAACGCAACTGTTTCAGGTGTCGCTCTCCAAAACATGCAGCCAGAGGACGTCTGGGAATCCTCAAATGCTCCGAGAACAATTCTGATATTGTGGCATCACACAGTTATGTATACAGACTAAGTTCTGACTCACATGACACCAAATCTAGAACATCAGGATGTCAATAACCCTGAGGTAACCTCAGAGCACCGAAGTTTGTGGGGAAAATTTCCCAATGTGATATTGAGCAAAAATGTGTTAGGAGTGTGTATTTCCTAGAGAGCAACAGGAACAAGCTATCAAGATATATCATAATCAATGATGAGAAGAGCCACTCACTGACCAAAGGAGAATTGTTTTGACTGTCCAGGTTTCAAAGTATCCCCTCTCTATATTTGTTGAGAATGTGCTGGGTGCGTGGAGACATTCGGAAGTAAAGTGTTTGATTTCCAAATAGAGACCCTGGATGGTCTCCCACGGATGGTTGTGTGCAACGAGATGAGTAAATGAAAATAAAAATGAGATCTTGGACATCCAATCCAGAAATCACTCTTGCTTATCCATATTTATTATCTTTGGCACAATTTATCCCAAAGCCAGGACAGATATTGCTAAAGAGATATGACTTGAGTACACAAAGTGAGAAAAACAATGGGCTGCACAATGCACCTTTTAAACAAAGATTAGATTTTGGTTCAGTGACTGTTAATAAAAACAGACTAACATAAGCACAGATGCTGTTCAAATTACAATGTCTTTTTGGGAAGTGTTCTTGGCTCCAGTAGCCCTAAATAATGCAGACTAACAATCCTTTAGAGCACAGGTGTCAAACTCGGTTCCAAAAGGGCCGCAGCTCTGCACAGTTTAGTTCCAACCCTAATTAAACACACCTGATCAAACTAATTGAGTCCTTCAGGTTTGTTTGAAACCTACAGGTAAGTGTGTTGGAGCAGGGTTGGAACTAAACTGTGCAGGGCTTCGGCCCTCCAGGAATTGAGTTTGACACCCCTGCTTTAGAGGATTTGGATTTCAGCAGCATCTGTGTTTTATGTGTATGCTAATGCCAAGAGATGTGTCTTTAATCTAGTTTAACACTGACAGAGTGTGTCTGCTTCCCAAAGTGTGCTAGGAAGGCTGTTCCAGAGTCTAAGTGTCAGAAATGATAAAGATCTACTGCCTTCAGTTGATGCTGGTATTCTGGGAATAATCAATTGTCCAGAATTAATTGAGCATAGTGGACGTAATACTGATATTACATAAGATGCTAATACATCAGGACCTCCCTCAAATACTGGGGAGCTTAGCCGTTCAGGGCTTTGTAGGTAGTCAATATAAGTTTAAAAATTATAGGATGTAATAGGGAGCCAATGCAATAATGAAAGAACTGGAGTAATATGATCATATTTCCTTGTTCTAGAAAGCACTCTAGCAGCTGCATTTTAAACCAGCTGAAGGTTGTTAATTAGGCCAACAGGGCAACCGCGTAGTAACACATTACAATAGGGTATATGCAGAGCTAGTGTTTCTTCCCAAACTGATAAACTTCCGATGAACGGTTAATGTGATTTTAAATTTTATACGGTTTCTTTTGAAGCATAGATGTTGCAATGTAATTAAAATATACTCTGTTAAATAGGCTTCAGTGTTCATTTAGGTGTTGAAGCGTAAACAGAAATGAAAACGCCATTCACACGCATGCACCTCTAAGGATCAACAGACAAGCGCAGAAGCGCCATTAGAAATACTGGAGTAAAATAAAAGTAAATATTTTAAAGACATGGCGTGGAAAAAAAATGTAATGCAGTGCTTCTTGTACATTCTGAAACCCAATTTATGGCATATATCATTTAGGCAGTGTAGATTGGTGATTCTTAAACAAAACAGACGCGGAAGCGTTAGACCCAGGTTACTGACAAATTAAAAGTTCTTCTGTGTGCTTCTGCATATATCCTATAGTCTAACCAAGAGGTCATGAAAGCATGAATAAGCTT